AAAAGAATTAATTTACATCTACAGATAAATATAAAACATAAGAAATATAACCACTTTAGTGGGGCATGAGACCCAGACATACACCAAAATTTATTTAAAATACGTGGTGATACTAGTTTATTAATGTAGGCCAGTGTTTTTCAACCTTTTTGAATACGCGACTCCTTTACAAGTTAAAAAATTCTGGCGACCCCCCTAGGGCCATATTAAAACTATATCAGTGATTTTAAAAACTATATATTTAATTTTCTTTCTGTTGAGAAAAATTATTGTTGATTTAAACGAGAATTTGAGAATAATCGACAATAACTTAAGACACATAACGTATGAAACTTCCTTTTCATTATAACATTGGGCTCGGGATGCTGTTGACCTTTTTTTTTTTAGGATGAGAATTTCCAACTTCTACTTTTCTACTTATTACTTTTTTTGCAAGTCAGCTCAACACTTTTTACGGCTATCATTTTCTGCGGTGGCCCGTACCCACCCGGGCCCATCTCTCGCTACACCCATCGTTGAGACCTGAATGTCGATCAAAAAACCAATTGTACTGTATAATAAACAGGTACAGCCTTCTCGCTGAAATTATAGTTTTTTTAATGTAGTGTAGGACCTACAAAACTTGTCTTTTACTTTTACCCGCGACTCCCCGTGTAAGACTTCACGACCCCCTGGGGGTCGCGACCCACAGGTTGAAAAAAACTGATATAGGCTATAAAGAACAGAGCTTTGTGGAATACTTATTAGAGGAAAAAATTGATTGAAATAGAAATCAGATATTATAGTCTTATAAGTGCGAAGTAAAAAATAATTATTAAGCGATTTTAAAATAGTCCCATTTATATTAAATTTGGTCGATAGTTTATCCAGTAGAATATTAGGTCTACAGTGTCAAAAGCTTTAGAAATATCAATATAAACTATGTACGTTGGAAGTTTTAATTCGAAAGTTTTCAGTATTACGTGTTAAATTTTTAATAAATTTTTTAAGTGATTGAGAAATTGTCTAAACCGAAATGTTAGCAAAAAGAGAGGCGATACGTAGTTGAATAATAAGTAAATCTATACTGGTAGGTTTCAAATATTGTCAGCCCGGCTGAAAATATCGATATTGGACAGAAAATTAGGTTCTTTTATTTCAGGTGACGTGGAAACGTCGGACATTAAACATTGTTAAATTCAGACTCCAAAATCAAGGGAAACAAATGAATAAATACAGAAACCGAAATATATGATAGCTTTTTACAATATATAGTAGGAATGTTAACAAAACTATAAGTGAGAGTGTTTTTTTTAACTTTTAGTATAATATAATATTTCAGGTGACGTGGAAACGTCGGACATTGAACATTGTTAAATTCAGACTCCAAAATCAAGGGAAACAAATGAATACATACAGAAACCGAAATATATGATAGCTTTTTATAATATATAGTAGGAATGTTAACAAAACTATAAGTGAGAGTGTTTTTTTTAACTTTTAGTATAATATAATATAATAACATGATAAAAAAACTTAATTTTGATGGTAGGGTAAGGTTTATATAAGACTGTAAATATTAATACTGAATAAAATCTTCGTTAAGTCCTATCCCTTTCGAGATATATAACCCCTTTCTATTGCATATCCCTTCGACCTTTCACCACCAAAATTTAATAGCATCAATGCTTCTCATACACAGGCCACTGTGCCACATATTAAGCAAAATAGACGCCAACCTACATACACAAAATCAATATATATATATAGGCCTATATTAATTGTGTGTGTGTGTGTGTGTGTGTGTGTATGTTGGCGTCTAAATAATACGTTATATATCAACGTATTAATTTGATTAATTTTATCCACGTTGGTAGATTTTATCCACGGAAATTTTTACTGTTTTTTTTTTTGGTTTGAGGAGATCTCTAAACGTGGAAATTTGCAAAAACATCGCAGGGTCAAATTCGACACGATTCGATACATTCTCTTATTATGTACACATAACAGTCGGGAATGAAAAATGTTGTAAACTTCTATGTTTATTTTATTTTATTTTCATAATTGTAAGGCATGTGAAATTGTGAGATCCGGAAGGCCCTAGGCCTCATTTAATAATTTTTATTAAATATGCTTAAATAATGTCACCAAATAATACTTCGTTTTGGTGAGAAAATTATTGGTTTAGACGTGGGAAAAATAGATGACAGATGACACTTCCTTTCCACAGAAGAGAACATCCGCTGTTTTTCCCTTATCCGTTAAAAATCTCGCTCAGATGGGAAATGGTTACCCCTCATTCATCCCCCTTTCATCCGTTCTCACGAAAGAGTTACTGAACGATGATTGGACGAAATTTTGAGATAAAAGGAGAAATTAGTCAGAATTCGAGGAGTCCTCCGACCGATTTGAAAGTGTCCAGACTCCACATACGTTTCCTCCTGATGGCCAACGCCCATAACGGAGTCCGATAGACTAAGTCCCGAGTCTACACTTAGAAGAAGTGATATTTTTATATTTTGTGCACGAATTGATCTCCCATACGATAGTAATATGAACTCTATTTACAAGGTGTCCTCTACCTATACAGAAACGAAGACGACAACTAACAGGTCGTATGTTTAGAATCATTTTGTGAGCTCTCTCTCGAACGCGCATTAGCATAGATTTAGTCGTAGCCTCTAGTTTGTCGCTTAAATGGTTGTAATCGAATTTTTGTATTCGTTTGTTTAGTTTTATTAAATTATACTTATGTTTATTATACAGAATGTCTCCTCAATTCATTCCGAATCAGATCGTTATCGCGTGTTTGTCCGCGCCTCTATAAATTGACAAACTGGTGTCGGGAACCTGACGAAGGAAGAAGGTGAATTCGCCATCACCAACTTCCGCTCTAAATTATAATATAACCGTAAAGCCCTCCACACTCGTTCCCTACGACGGGGAAAGGCCGTTCTTTGGACGACTGAGAGCTGGTCTTACCGACTAGTGCCCGTAAGTGGCGTAGATTAAGACCTACGTCCTTGGCTACTCTCACAAAATGAACTGTTGCTCCGTATTTATCACTGGTCCACCTTTTTATCTTACATTTTTTCATATCCGTAACGTGTTTGTACAGAAAAAATTGTATATTTCTATTTTTCAAATGTTTCCATACTTTGAATTTCATTATCGTTAGCGATATTTCTCTTATAATTTTCTGAAAAAAATATTTTCGAAAGTAGATGTGAAAATGGAATTTGTAAGAAGACGTAACAAAAAACAGATGCAATAATGGAGAGTGTCATCACCAACAGGAACGTCATGTACTAGAAAAATATATAAATTTGTATTAAACATATTTTAAGAAATAAAACTAATAAATTTTTGTTATTTATATATTTTTACTGTAAACGTAAATTACATAATAAATTACGTAAATTAATACTGTAAACGTAAATTTATAAGATGTTTAATGCTAAAGAAAAGTAAAATAATTTAAACTTGATCTTATTCAAGATTTAATTAGTTAAACTAATATACAAATCTATTTGTTATAAATAAAATACATTATTTAGGAAAAACATAAATTTAAATTAATTTTTAAATTAAACTTTCTTATGTAGAACTTTAATGATCGCTTCTTCTATGTGATTCATAACATATTAATCAAATTATAGGAATGAATATGGATCAAATATTAATTATATTTTTGAAAAATAGTATTACCAGATTTATTTGTGTAAATGGAAGTGGATTCCTAAATTCTCCAAAAAGATAAAGAATAAACAGAGGGTGAAGAAGATAAATCCAAATTGTTAGACGATCCATTACGATGAAGATGTCAAGGGACAGGAACTTGTTTGCTACACCTAGAACATTATTCAAACTTTAATTATATACAAAAATATGTGAAAATTGTTAACTTACTGTACCTCCATATCCCGATAAGCATGCTATACATATCCAAGCTATTACCAACGTGCATGCAATTGGAGAAAGGATCTGATGTGCAAGAATTACTGATTGATTTGGAAAAGGATTATTTCTGTAATTGTGCAAACCGAAGAGTATCAATCCTATCAAACAAATTGCCGTAATCCAACATGTAACAACAATCATCTGAAAAATATGGTTGATGTAGATTTTTAAATCAAATTCCAAATGTTAACATTTTCATTTCAATCGTACAAGCTGAAATGAATTCTATATATATAATGCGAATTTGAATTTTACGCAAGAAATAAATCAATTAATAAACCTTTACTTTACTATTGCTAATTAAATTTTATGGCTGCGTATAGAGTCAATTAATTTCTGGGACATAATATATTATCAAAACATAACGAGCAATTATTTATTGTAACCTTGTCACAATACACGTCAGTCAGTCAAAATAATCTTTATTGTCTGGCACCTGCTTAGCACAGCCAGGCAGAAATACAGAAAAATACATAGTAGATACATGTTGTTAGTCATAGAAGGGATACAATAATATAATGTTAGAGAAAAGGGAAAGTAAAATAAAATAAAATAAATGAATAAACATACACAGCTGCAATTTTTAATAATATTTTTAATGGAGTAATGCTCTTCACCTCAAATCAGTAGTGTCTTGCCCCTGTGCATCATACGATACTTTTAAAAATAGAGTAGTGAGGTCATTTATCTAACTGTTTTCCGGGAAAACATTTTGAATTCAAATAGCATGACTTCCAATGGAAACCAAAAAGTCATATATAGTTACTCGGGGCTTCCTGCCCCTAAAGTTTACAAATTGCGTGTCATCACATTAATTGAATTGAAAATGTTTCCCCCCAAAAAAGTTAGATATATGACCGGAACGACTGTGTTGTAAAAGAAAAAGTATAATGTACAGAGCCAAACACTACTAACTTGAGGTGCAGAGCTTACATTTAAAATTAAATAAATTAATAGTATGTATTATTAAAAATTGCAGCCCGGCATTGTAAATATGTCACAATAAATAATTGTTCTGTTTAATTAAAATCAAATTTTCCAGTAATCAAAAGAATATATTTTTACGAGGAATAAAACTGTATGATTATAATCTTTTTACTTAATAAATGTCTTATACATAATTTATTTTTTATATTATCATAAGGAGAAATAAAAAGCCATATAACATACCTTTCCGAATTTGAATTGTTTCTTTTTGAATAAAGCGTATCCTATTAATAAGCCGAAGCAGTAAGAACTCAGATGGATAAAGTAAGGTTTCTGATAAAGATACAGGAACAAATTCTCAAGATTTCTGTAAAAGAATTTTGAATTATAAAGTTAACGATTATATGTAAAAGATATATTAAATCTAATACAAAAGCAGACAAATATATATTTTTCTTGTTTTTGCTTTACATATACAGTATATAGGCCTGTAATATATATAAATGTATAAACTTAATTTATATCTCTGATTATAAATAAAAACTAATCGAATGCATATAGCTAAAAATTCTTATTAAAGTATTTCGTAATTAATTAATATTAAACGTTTATAAAAAATAAATTATATTTACTTTTTTAAATGTATTAGGCTACTTCATTTCCGATTCATGTAGTTACGTTAATAATTATGCATAATCACAAACAATTTCGGTAAATGTTATAAATTTCTTTTACATATTGCGAATTACTCACATTTATCGATGATTATATATGTTACCGCTAAAGCTCGAAATCCGTTAATGTGCGCATTACCTAGCTAATCTGCAGATTAACTAGGGTGATCCGTTAAAGCTGCGAAAATTATTCCATTTCTCAAATTACCTAGGTAATGTTCAGATTATCTAGGTAATCTGCAAATTACCTACTAGGCACTCGGTAAAGTGAAAATAAGATTTTTGCTGGAACAACAGCAACGTTTCTGTACGCTTAAATTAACATAATGTTATTTATTTAATTTTCAATATCTAAAGAATCAAGTTAATACAATCAAC